TTTATTAAGGAAGTAAAAGAATAAAAGGGTGGCAACTCCATAGGCAGAGCAGCCTGACCAGTGTATGTGTTATTCATAGTCACCCTGTCAGCAGTGTGCTCCAAAAGTGCTCCTTGGTTCACCATTTTTGGTGTGAGTTGTAAGGAGCCCCTTCAGAATACATTGCTAATACAGCGGTTCGAGGGCGGCCCCAGGCTAGTTATTTGAGGTAGAAATTCCCAGGGAAGCCCCTCCTAGGAGGGGAGAAGACTGGAGATGGAGTTGGGGGAGCCATGAGGTACGGGTAGCATGGTTGGGGTTAGGGTTGGGGTGTGTGGGGTAGGGGGGTCTGGTTAGGGTTAGGGTTGGGATGTGGGGTAGGTGGGTGTCTCATCTCAGACAGCGTGGTTGGGGTTAGGGTTGGGATGTGTGGGGTAGGTGGGGATCTGGGCTGTATGTCATTTCCATTTGGCTCCTCTGTAATTGTTTCTGGTAAATTGATAAAGTAAAATGTTTTTCTGAGTTCTATGAGTTGTAGCAAATTATTGAGCCTGAGGGGGGTGTGTGGGATCCCCTGAGTAGGTAGAGGGACTGGCAAAAATGTGGGTAACCTGGACACCCCATTCTCCACTTGCATCTGTGGGAACAGTCTTGTGGGCTCGACACTAAGTCTAGGTAGATAGTCAGACTGGAATTGAATCGTTGGACACCCCGGTGGTGGTGACTTGGTGTCCCACATTTGATGTTAAGAGTGGCATCGGAGAAGAGACACCTTCAAGCTTCAAGCTCCATTTGTGTTACATATCGTCAGATATCTGAACAACACTTTTGGCAATACTGTCTAGTCAGATGAACGGTTTCAGGAATGGTGTGGTCTATCCATCTCGGAAGGCACCGTGTAGCCTCTGCCAGAGTGTGGGGCAGACTGGCCTGGGCCTTTCTCCTGCAGTGAGCTCCAGGCTCCAAGACAGAGCCTGGCCTGCCTTTGTATTAGGGATGTGCTTCTTGTGGGCCAGGACATGAGGCAACGTGAGAGGCCAAAGAGAACAGTCATGTGTTAATTTGAAAATCTGTGTGATCATTTCGTTAGCAACTTACTGGAGGCTGTTTGATGGTATAAGTTGCAAATCCACATTTCTTTCCTGGGCCTTCGGTTTGCTTTTTTCTGGTTAATATGAAATAGACTCAGCAACAAGTGGCGTATTGAGGCTGGGCCAGGCCTCTTTCAGGAGAGATGCCTCGTGTGTGTGGAAAGCTGAACGCCTGCCTTTGCTTCCAGTGAACATGACGGATGAAGAGGCTGCTCCGTTCCCTCCAATAGCATGGTGTTGGTAGTGCTGTGTTGGTTTAAGGACAGTCAGCAGCTCAGGGTGATTATTCTACTTACTCAAATTATAGTGACTGCAAAATGAGATAATTCCATTGTTCTCCTCCATTGTTCTTCTCCACCATCTTTTGTGACCTGCACTTTCCTCCCACTGCACTCCATCCTCCATACGCTACCAGAGGAAGCTTTTACCAGATTTGCTTTAAATAAATAAACCTATGACACAAAGTAGAGAAGTTATCCTGGGCCCAGAAATAGACGTGTGCCTATGTGCACGCTTCATGTCTGACAAAGGAAGCAGCGCAGAGCAGAGGCGAGGTGGGAGCTGCCTGCAATAAATGGGGCATCCGTATCACATCAGTGGAAAAATTAATCCACGTAGATTTTGGATCTAAATGTGAATGTCATAACAGTAGAGCTATGTGAAAATAACAGAACAGAATAGCTCAGGAAGGGACTGCTACATTTGACTGAAGTAAAATCAAGAACTTGTACATCAGAAGGCATGATAAGTGAAAAGAACAAGCTACCAAGTGAAAGTTACTTGCAACGCATTTAAATATGCAGAAAAATGCATATCTAGAGTACAGAATTATCCCAGAATTGCACTTTTAGCAGTAAGGGAACGGGAGCAGCGTTCCAGCCTCAGTTTCTATTTATAATGGTGACAAGGAAAAAATATTGCTGGATGCCCACAAATAAGACAGATAATAGAAAAGAATGAGAGATTTGAAGAACCAGTTCAAAAAAGATGCTATCCAGATGGCTAGCAAACTTGTAAAATCGTGTTTAACATTGTTAGAAATTAAATACATGCAAAGTAAGCCACAAAATACAAGTAATAGAGGCTGGGCATGGTGGCCCACACCTGTAATCCCAGCACATTGGGAGGCCGAGGTGAGAAGATTGCTTGGGCCCAGAAGTTCGAGACCATCCTGGGCAACATAGTGAGACCCCATCTCCTAAAAAAAATAGCCAGGAGTAGTGGTACATTCCTGTAATTCCAGCTATTCCGGAGGTGTCAGCTAGAAGATGGCTTGAACCCAGGAGTTTGAGATTATAGTGAGCCTTCATTGTGCCGCTGCACTCCAGCCTGGGTGACAAAATGAGACTCCGTCTCTAAAAGAAACAGAAAATAGAGGTCAAACCTTTTAAAGAAAACTTTAAATCCCTTAAGCTTATGTTGACATTTTTTTAAGACCCCTTTTTCCAAATAATAGCCTTTTTCTTAGAGAAGCTCACTGCAAGAAAGCATTCTAATTGGATTCTGGCGACTCAGCAGAGTTACTGGACATTTGCTTGGTATAAACGGACTGCAAGACATGGACAGATATGTGGTCTCAGCCCCAGGAGGCTTCCTTCCTGTACCCAGAGAGTGTGTGCGTAGACAGTCACTGCCATGCGAGTGGGCAGAGGGATGTCTTCAAGGTGGGGTTAAGGGATGGTTCCTGGCGTGTCACCATGGCTACCTCTTGGAAATGGAGGGGCAGGCTGGTTAGCTATTAAGACCAGATTCCAGAGTGGGTAGAAAATTCCATCTGTGCCCCTTTTTTTGTTCCCACCAGGCTCCTGGGTGGAATTGCACTTCAGCAATAATGGGAACGGCAGCAGCGTTCCAGCCTCGGTTTCTATTTATAATGGTGACATGGAAAAAATACTGCTGGACGCACAGCATGAGTCTGGACGGAGTAGCTCCAAGAGTTCTCACTGTGACAGGTAGGTGCACGCCAGCAAGCGTATGCGTTACAGTGCTGATGTCTTCAGTGGGTGACAGTCACCTCTAGGACAGGGGGCTGCTGTTCCCCTCAGGCCGCGTTCGGGAGTGGCTCCTGCTGCCCTCTTTGGGGATGCAGCGTCCTGGGACTTAGTCTGTGGGGAACCATGTTCAAGTCGCCAGTAGGCAGCAGAACAGCCACGAACCCCGCTCGGAGAAACGCACTCACGCGCCTCAGCAGGGCCGTGGTCGCAGGAGTGGTTCCTGGGTAGCAGCACTTCTGAGGACTCCAGGGTAGAGTGGCTGAGTGGTCAAAGGTCGCGTGCCCTTGAGAACTGTGCAACAGACCGTGAAGGCGGCAGGTGACAAAGCCAGCCGCTCGCCAGCTGCCTCCCCCCGCCTCTTCTCTGAAGACTGGCTAGCTAACTCCTGTCGGGCTCAGCCAACAGGGCTGAGAAGTAGTTTGGCTCTGGCTGGTGCTGGGTGGAAGGGAAGACGCACACTGGCTAGAGCCCCTCATCACGGAGGCGGCTGGAGGCCTTTGGGGTTTGAGCTTCTAATGATAGAATGTTCACATGATGTTCTGTTTTTCTCATTCTATCACATTGCCAAGCCCACCTCGCTCACAGACACCACAAGATACTAACAGAGCTTCTGAAACAGACACCCATAGCATTGGAGAGAAAAACAGCTCACAGGTAAGCTGGAAGAAGAATGCGAGTTATAAGTATTTGTGATCTGTTTGTACAGGAAATGGTTTAAAATGTAATTGAGCACCTCAGAGAAAAGTCGGGCTTTAAGGGTGTCCCTGCCTGCCATCAGGGATACACCGGAAAGGAGGAAGGGCTCCCTGGTGGCTGCAGCCTAGAGAGGGGGGAGGGACCACTGGAAAGGGTGGCAGTGAGCCAGCTACTGGCTGGTCTTTCCTTGTGGTTGTTAGTTGGACAGTGAGTGGCTTTTAATACTTGCATGCTGTGTGGGACTCAGGCATTACCCGCGGGGCCATTCGAGGCCATTCAGTCACTGTGGCTGTGACTCTGAGGTGTCCTCCTCATTAGACATTGTCACTGCCTGCTGGAAATTACACCCTGTGCCTTTCCTAGCATTAGTCCTGAGCTAACTGGTGCCTGAGCAGTGCAGCATTAGTGGCTGATCAACCTGGTAATTTAGTGTAAGAGCATCTTTTTTTTTTTTTTTTTTTTTGAGACGGAGTCTCGCTCTGTAGCCCGGGCTGGAGTGCAGTGGCCGGATCTCAGCTCACTGCAAGCTCCGCCTCCCGGGTTGACGCCATTCTCCTGCCTCAGCCTCCCGAGTAGCTGGGACTACAGGCGCCCGCCATCTCGCCCAGCTAGTTTTTTGTATTTTTTAGTAGAGACGGGGTTTCACCGTGTTCGCCAGGATGGTCTCGATTTTCTGACCTCGTGATCCACCCGTCTCGGCCTCCCAAAGTGCTGGGATTACAGGCTTGAGCCACCGCGCCCGGCCACCATCTTTTTTAAAAAAGTTTTTTGTAGAGACGGGGTCTCCCTGTGTTGCCCAGGCTGGTCTTGAACTCCAGGGCTCAAGTGATCCTCCCAAAATCCTGGGACTATAGGTGTGAGACTCCATGTCCAGCCTGAGATGACTTTTCTAATGGTAACAGATACTTAATGGGCTTTACATGCCGTCATTCAGCATTGTTGTGAAAACGGAGTCTTAGAGGAAAAAGTGTGCCTGGGGTTATTGCCTTGGTTTACTATCATTCTCCCTTCGCAGATAGGGTTCGAGGCAGTGATCAGTACTGTCTTGCTCAGTTATATCTGGTAGTGCCTTACTTACCTTGTTGCAGACGAGATGCGCGATAAATGTTTTCTTGGGTGTTTGTCGATGGTGAGAACTTTGACGACGGACCGTGTTCTGTATTTTGGAAGCTCTGAGGAAGCATGGCCTTCCAGGCAGGATTAGTAGCTGGCTCTTCAGTGCTAGCTTCTCTCAAGGCTTCCTTCACCAAGGAAACAAGGAGTCCCTGTTACCCAGGCCTTCTCAGGGACATCCCCCTGGCCCCACTCTGAGGGTTCCAGAGCGCAGCATGATTTTGGGAGCCCCGGGAGCCCTGGCTGTGGATGTGTGGGTGCACCCCAGGGCGTGCGGCCTGCTCCTCGGCACATGGGGCTATATCCAGCTTGGATATACCCAGATGTTTGGTGGGTTTGGGGAGCTATATTCTGATTTTCAATTTTATTTCTTTTTTTTTGAGACAGGGTATTGCCGTTTTCACTGTTTTAAAACAAAAATTTCCCCTTAGTTTTAAAAGAAATTAGATGTTCAGGTACAGAATTCTGAAAATGCAAAAAAGTAGAGAACACTGAGACTCTCGGATTTAAAGTCCTCTTTAATGTTTCGTGCTGTTATATAATTCTGAGGATTTGGCCGCAGCTCTGGTTGTGTGTACATTTCTGCCTTTTCCCTCCTGCTTTTCCCGGAAGCATCTTGTAAACCTGCTCACTATCCAGTGTCCGTTTCCTTCGTCATGTCCCTGTTTTGAGCCATTTTCGGCTGTTTTCATTTTCTTTTGTTATAACCAGTGCTGCAGTCACCATCTTTGCCCTCATGTCACGTGACTTCCCTAGGACAGTGTTTGCCGCTGTCAGTACCCCAGCATCTCACAGTGAACCAGATGTATTTACGCCCTGGGTGGGACTCCCCCGAGGTGATCTGTACCTGGAGGAGGCGAGCGAGCCGGGAGCCGGGAGTGCGGTACGGCCCGGGGAAGGCCCCCAGCCCCAGGACTCCCCTTGGACCACAGTCCGGGGCAGTGACATGTGCCTTTGGGCTCTTGAATGGAGCCTGCGGTTGTGAAGCTCGGGTGGGAGGTGGGTGTCATGTGTGGTACGTTAATCGGCATTTAACATCGACTTTATCTTAGTCTGAGGAAGATGATATTGAGAGAAGGAAAGAAGTTGAAAGCATCTTGAAGAAAAACTCAGACTGGATATGGGATTGGTCAAGTCGGCCGGAAAATATTCCCCCCAAGTGAGTGTGTTCTCAGTGTCACGGGGGCTCCCCTTGACAGAGGACACATCGGCTGACACGTTTCTTCCCGCCTCAGGGAGTTCCTCTTTAAACACCCGAAGCGCACGGCCACCCTCAGCATGAGGAACACGAGCGTCATGAAGAAAGGGGGCATATTCTCTGCGGAGTTTCTGAAAGTTTTCCTTCCGTCTCTGCTGCTCTCTCATTTGCTGGCCATCGGATTGGGGTAGGTGATGTGACTCTGTGACTCCCGCCATGGCATGTCGTGGGGCAATTCTGGGTCGCGGTGATTTATTCGTAAACTATTTCCTGAAGTCCGGCTCATCAGTTACAGCTTGGTGCATTTTCGCAAACACACCCACAGTCACTGTTCAGGTCAAGAAACCACCAGCCTACAGCCCCAAAAGGCCCCAGCACAGGCGCCTGTAGTGCTGTCTGGCACGGACGAGTCTGCCTGTTGCTCACCGTATATAAATGGAGTCACGGCAGGGATTCTTATGTCTGACCTTTGTCCTGTGTGTCGTTAAAAGCAGTCTCATTTCTGCGTAGTACTGCATGCTAGGGACGCCCCCAGCCGTCTGCTGTAGATGGAGGGCCTCAGTTACTTGCTGTACTTCCTTCAGGACCGGACTGTTGTTCTGCTTAACTCTCAGCAATAAAGAAACCAGTGCGGTCTCTGATTTTTCTGGCCTGAGTTTCGCTCTTGTTGCCCAGGCTGGAGTGCAGTGGCGTGATCTCGGTTCACTGCAAACTCTGCCTCCCAGGTTCAAGCGACTCTCCTGCCTCAGCCTCCTGAGTAGCTGGGATTACAGGTGCCCACCACCATGCCTGGTTAATTTTTGTATTTTTAGTAGAGACGGGGTTTCGCCATGTTGCCCAGGCTGATCTCGAACTCAAGTGATCGTTCACCTCGGCCTCCAAAGTGCTGGGATTACAGGTGTGAACCACCATGCCTGACCTTTTCTGGCTTCTTATACTAACTAATTCTGCAGAAAACACAGAGACCAGGCAGGTGCCACTGTGGATTCTCAAGAGCTTTAGCTGCAGCAGTGGTGAAGAGCCAGAGCGGGAAGCCAAAACCGCTCCTCCTAGGGCTGGTCCCACCCTCTCTCAGTGGGGAGGAGGGGTCTAGTCCTGGTGTGCAGACAGTGTTCTATGGCTGCTGTGTATTAGACAGACTGGAAAGACTGGAATGCCACTGGGGGCAGGTGGGTTCCGTTGGCCAGAGGGCTCACATCTGGGGTCGAAGGAAACGGGATAAAAGCCACTGAGTTTCCTGGGCCGGGACCTGAGTGCTGCCATGTCTCCACCTCGCCCTCCCATGTGTACGGCTTTCTCCTAGCTCTTGTACACATTCTCACGTCCACCCCCGTCACCTTTATTTCTGCCAGTGCTTTTTGGAGTCAGACCCACAGACTGCATCAGCATCACCAGGCAGTTTGCTTTCTGGAGCCTTTTCCAGAACTGTCAAGCAGACTCCGGGGGCAAGGCCTCAGGATCCTCATTTTAAATACGAGGTTTAGCCCTTCCTTTCAGGATGGATTTCTGCAGCCACTGCTTCCCAACTACTGTCCTCCATCCTGCTCAGGTTTTCAGAGCCTGATACTGCCACTGGCGACCCACACCCTCTCAGCAGCTTTCCAGAACCGCACTATAAAATCTGCCCCGAAAGCTGCTGCAGCATGGTCTGTGCCCACAGTGCCCACTGCACCACTGCCCATAGGCCAGCACTGTCTGTGCTCACAGTACCCACCGCACCACTGCCCATAGGCCAGCACTGTGCTCACAGTACCCACCGCACCACTGCCCATAGGCCAGCACTGTCTGCTCACAGTACCCACCGCACCACTGCCCATAGGCCAGCACTGTCTGTGCTCACAGTACCCACCGCACCACTGCCCATAGGCCAGCACTGTCTGTGCTCACAGTACCCACCGCACTACCGCCCATAGGTCCGGAACCGCACTATAAAATCTGCCCCCGAAAGCTGCTGCAGCAGCAAGGTCTGTGCTCACAGTGCCCACCCCACCACTGCCCACAGGCCAGGCCAGCCAGGCTTCCGATTCTGCCCCCTTTCCTGGAGACCCATCCTCCTCCCTCCTGGAGTGATGCCCGCTGGTCAGCTGGAGCGAGCCTCTCTATTGCCGACACTCCTGCATCTTTAGTTTGGGACATCTCTCCCACTACCGAACTTAAACCACGTGAGGGCAGGGTCTTCATTTTTAAGCAGTTGACCTTGGTGAGGCTGGTGGCGATGAACTGGCAACACCATCTTGCCCTGGTAGGTGACTTCCCCCAGCATTGAGTTGGAACAAAGCAGCTTTCTGTCTGGAAACAGCGTTTCAGTTTGGTGATCCTTCTAGGCAAGAATACAATCTGATGTTTTCTAATTAATACAAAATACATATTGATAAAACACTCGGTAAAAGATGACAGATAGATTCATTACAAAATTTTTATAATGGATATAAAATCACCAGTCCCTTGCATAAGCTCTAACCACAGTGAGCTACCCTGTTTCAGCTGTAACACAATCTCCTGGGAATCACAAGATACATTAACTACTGATTCCTTTTTCTGTTAAGGATCTATATTGGAAGACGTCTGACAACCTCCACCAGCACCTTTTGATGAAGAACTGGAGTCTGACTTGGTTCATTAGTGGGATTACTTCTGAGCTTGCAATGCAGCTCACTGAAGAGCTGTTAGATCCTGGGGTGGCCGCGTCACTTGTGTTTATTTGTTCTGTAAATGCTGCGTTCCTAATTTAGTAAAACAAAACAACAGACACTAAAATCATGTTGATCTATAATTATACCTATGAGGTCAATTAATAAGCATGTCAGACTGATTAATATCTATTGTAAAAATTTGGTAGTGAATTTGGATATTAGATATAAATACCTGAATATAATTTTAATATCCTATTCATGATGTATGTTGTATTTTAAAAATTATCTGCAACCTTAATTCAGTTGAAGTACTTTATATTTCAAAAGAATGAATAACATTGATAATAAAATCGCTACTTTAAGGGGTTTGTCCAAAATAAATATTGTGGCCTTATATATCACACTATTGTAGAAAGTATTATTTAATTTAAATGGATGCAGGTTGTCTACTAAAGATTATACATAACTATGCTAATTGTTCGTAATCAACAGAAACCAAGAGAGAGCTACGAACTCAGCTGTACCGTTCATACACTAAACTCTTCTGGCTTTTGCAGTATAAGGAATTAAGTCTCCGATCATTAGGTAATCACCTTGGATGATCAGTTTTCTGCTGAAGGCACCTGCTCAGTGTCTTTTCCTCTTTATCACGCTGCATTGGTGAATTTAATCCTCTCCTTTGTGCCCAACTTGTGTGTGCTTTTAAAATCAGCTTTATTCTAAGCAAATCTGTGTCTACTTTAAAAGACTGGAAATGGGGAAAAAATAAATAAATCTTTGCCAAATCCTTCAGATTACTGTATTTACATATGGTTTCAAATCAGACATCATAATAGCTTCTTGATGAAACCAGGACTGGTCCCTATTTTGATATTATCTTTCCTACAGCAAACTTTTTAGAAAGGCTGCCTGCCCAGGCCTTGGTGTTTCATCTTTCCACGCGTAATTCGGGTGTGAAATCTGACATTGTCATTTGTAAAGATCTCTGTTGATACTACCTGGGAAGCAGTCACTTCTGGAGGAAGTGGATGGCATGACATCAGAATTCCTTTATACAATCTAACCTCAGAATAGTCTGAGATCATTTCGAAGCACGCTGGTCAAGGAATTCCATTTCTGTTTTAGAGCAAATATGTTTGCTGTTTGTCTTCCATCACAAACGTGGAGTTTCAGCACCTTACAGAGCTTAGTGAACCCCCTGCTTACCATCAAAGTTAGCACACAACAAAGCCAACCACGTGTCCCCCTCACAGATGATAATGGCTGAACTCTCAGTGAAACCAGCTGTACGGCCGGGCACAGTGGCTCACGCCTGTAATCCCAGCACTTTGGGAGGCCGAGGTGGGCGGATCACCTGAGGTCAGAAGTTCAAGACCAGCCTGGCCAACATGATGAAACCCCATCTCTAATAAAAATACAAAAAATTAGCCGGGCGCAGTGGCACGTGCCTGTAATCCCAGCTGCTTGGGAGGCTAAGGCAGGAGAACCGCTGGAATCTGGGAGGCAGAGGTTGTGGTGAGCAGAAATCACGCCACTGCACTCCAACCTGGGAGGGAGAATGAGACTCCATCTCAAAAAAGAAAAAAAAAAAAAAGAACAGTTGGAGGTACTGAGCTCTGGGACTGGGCCAGGGTGATGGCTCCACACGTGTAATCCCAACACTTTGGGAGGCCCAGGTAGGAGGATCACATGAGTCCAGAAGTTCGAGACCAGCCTGGGGGAGCATAGCAAGACCCTGTCTCTACAAAAAATACAAAACTTAGCCTTGTGTGGTGGCACACACCTGTAGCCCCAGCTGCTCGGGAGACTGAGGCAGGAGGATCCCTTGAGCCCAGGAGTTCAAGGCTGCAGTGAGCCAGGATAGTGCACGCAGCCTGGCAAGAGCAAGGAAGACCCTGTTTCAAAAAAACCAGAACTCTGGGACTGGAGTGCTTTAGACAGATGGGACAAGAATCAAGTTTTCTAGAGGTGTTTTTCATTAGATTGTAACATTAGACATTCATTAAAAACGAAGTCTGATGTGTGTATCCATGTTTTTATCTTTGAGATAGGGTAATGGCAGTAAGTGAGCCTTTCTGAATAGCTTTTGTAAACAGCCCTTCTTTTCTACAGTGGTTAATACAAATAACTGCCCACACCACTCATTTCATTAACAAGTTTACAAAATTAACATTACCTACATGATTTTGGTAGAAAAACACTGCACACTTGGCCACTATTTAGCTAATATTTACTGCGATGCACATTTGCCCATACACATCTGCTTAGGGTGTGGAACGGGACGCCTACACGTTGCTTACAAGGAATGCGCATGGCTGCAAGAGAGGAGTCGGCAACACCTCAGAAAACTCCAGCCCTGCATCTATGCTTTGGACGCATGACCCACTTCCAGGAATTCACTCTGGAGACAGACCTAGAAACTTCTACGTGCACATGCACGAGGATATAACTAAATAGGTAGTATTTATTATAACATGATTGTATTAAAATACTTGAAACAATTGAGGTGCCCATGCATAGAGGCGAGTAAGCGACAGTGCTGCCCTGCAGGGCCGGCGCTCTGCCACTCAGGCACGGCGGGGAAGAGCTCGGGATGAGGGGTTTCCAAGGAATGTGAAGTAAAGCAAGGTGCAAAAATAGATGTGTCCCTAGCAGAAAGGAAAGAACATTTGGTAGCAGCTCTTTGAAACAGGAAACCTGTAGCAGTTTTAAGACAGCCCCCGGCCAGGCACCATGGCTCACGCCTGTAATCCCAGCACTTTGGGAGGCTGAGGCGGGTGGATTGCCTGGGCTCAGGAATTCGAGACCAGTCTGGCCAACACGGTGAAACCCCATCGCTACTAAAATACAAGAAAATTAGCCAGGTGTGGCGGCGTGCACCTGCAGTCCCAGCTACTTGGGAGGCTGAGGCAGGAGAATTGCTTGAACCCGGGAGGTGGAGGTTGCAGTGAGCCAAAATCACGCCAATGAACTCCAGCCTGGGCGACAGAGCAAGACACTGTCTCAAAAAAAAAAAAAAAAAAGTCCCCTAGTTTTTTTTTTGACAACCGCCCTTAATGAGTGATGTGGGTCTGTGCCCCTTCAGCTCTGGACTCTGCCAACAGGACAAGGAGGCAGTGATGCCAGTGGTGCAGCACCACTTCCTGGGCCCACCCAGCCTTAAGCTGGCAGCTGCCCCTTCCTGTCTCTTTGGGGGTGCATGCTCTTGGCCGTGCTGGGAGGAAGCCACCGTTGCTCAGTAGAGAGGCCTGGTCACATAGGACCCAGCAGCTAGCATCCCTGCCAGCCATGTTGTCCCCCCTGTGGATCCTCCAGTGCCAGGAGCGATGCCCTCGCTGACCGTCTGGAGCACAGATGAACTGAACCTGCTAAGCCCTGTCCAAACTCCAAATGGGTGGACAAAATACAGGATTATTTAAATATGTAGTATACTTATGTGAAAAAGCTAAGCAAAATATATACACATACCTCCTCATTTGTGCAAAAAAAACTGAGGTAAGGTAGAAATAAATGAGATTGGTTACCACGGGGTGGAAACAGGTGGAGATGGAAAATGGGAAGAGGGTGGGAGGGGTGCAGCTTTTTGTGTAACAGACTTAGAACCACACGAATGTTTCACATGCTGCCAAATTCAATAAACTATTGTGGGGGGAATCCAAAATGGAATACCTA